CTAAATCACACATCACAACTAAAAATAAAATATTTCACTTCACACTGATCTACAATGACAATACACAATTCCTGTACACACAATACAATGACGAAAGAACCAGATAACAAATACGGCTAACTTGACGTTTACTCCTCGTTTGACTCTGAAGATGACTACCGCTAAGGTTGTCGAGACGTCAGTCAACAACAACAAAAACAGTCCTTCTCAGGACTTTATTAACCTGGACGATCGTCATTTACAAATATATAATTGAAATATGCATGTTTAATTGCTTTAAATAATGAGGTCAAAAAATAAATCCTGAAAGATAAAGATCGTACAAACAGACGTTCGTCTTACATCTGCGTCCGCCGTCCGCGTCCTTCGTCCGCGCCCGCTTTTTATCTACACACTAGTTTCACTTTAACATTTCTTTGTTTTAAGTACGTTTTTTAAGTTCTTTGTTTGTTTAATTTATTATTCTTTTTTGTTTTAACGAGTGAGAACTTGAAACGCAATGAAAGAGTGAGTACTGCTAATGACGTAAAGGAAAGCTCGACTTATGTAATTACCGATAGTATAAATGACATGTAAATAATTAACTCTAATAGATTGCGTAAGAATACTCCAGTAATAGATTGTACAGGTTTAACACCAAAAAGTGCAATTGTATAAACCTAGACTGTACAGGCTTAACACCAAAAAGTGCAATTGTATAAACCTAGATTGTACAGGTTTAACACAAAAAAGTGCCTAGAGCGTAAGTTAATGAAATTATTTACTGAACGAAGATAGGTTTACATTTATATGTTTCTACGAGACCACGCTATCAAACAAAGAAGTGAAACAATTTAAAGTTGATGACAAATTTTCTTGTTTGACAATTTTAACGTTGGCAAAGAAAATGCCATATTTAATTTAACAACTTTTACTCAATTTTGTCTTAAACACTGTGCACAGGAAACACTGTATAGAATGTCGGTTTTAAAATGGAGTCAGAATATCACCAGTTGTAGAAGTACGTTTTCATGTATGTTTCTATAAATAATAAGAGCTCTAATGCACGAGTTTTCTGAATGACTTTTTATGTTGGAATATGTTTCATTATACAACAAAAGCAAACCGGGCTTCAAGGTTGAGCAAAAATATTATAACCACTAATTTGAAAATAAGCTTAAAAGAATAACCTTAGTCTTTCCACTTTTCATTCCCAATTGCGTATAACCTCGGCGTTATACTTATACATTTCCACCCCCTTGTCTATGTGTACATGTATGCCTTATTTATTATAACTTGTTTTGCTCGTTTTTATTACAGCTGTTGCCCCAAAGCGTGCTCCATTGGACTATAAAGGTCGTATGGAGGATATGGAGCAGTATCTGGGTACATTAAAAAGTACCCAGCAGGAAAGCATTCAAAGAATTGAGATATTGGAGTCACAGAAACACCAACTTCAAGGAAACGTTGTGATGAAAGAAAAAGAAATGCAAGAAGTATGTATTTTGAATGATTTTGGTTTTTTGAAATGCATAATTGCTTTTCTCTGTTAGGAACTTACGACGAAACATTGAAACATTACATTGGTGCGGTCACCTGTAAATCTGGTCGTGCTATGCAAACTTTTCTGTGTTTAATCATTGTAAAAACATTTTCTTTAAAAATGATTGATGATTGTGCTCTAAACTTTACATACCAGGAGTTCTACTTGCGGCCTTGCTACGCTTATGAAACATTTAAGTCACTAAAGCCTGTTTTCCACTTGCCACGTATTGTAACGTATCGTAGCAAAACGTAACATGGCGCATGCGTACTTATGAATTTGATGGTCAATATGCGCAAGCACGCATGCGCCATGTTACGTTTTGCTACGATACCTTACGATACGTAGCTAGTGGAAAACAGGCATAAGTCAGGTGTTTTTATTGCCGATTTGATTTTATGACTTACCCATGGATTAGAAATGCTGCCTAAAAACATTCGTCTTTGCGAACTTCTTTGCCTTAGCATTTCATTTAGAACTGTGAAATTTCCTTAGATAGATATGCGTGAATATAATCTGTACGTTTTTGTAGGCGGATTGTTAAACTTTTCCGTGTCTGTTTTTCAATAAATTTAATTCAAAGTGATCTGAACCCTCTGGATCAACGATTTAAAAACGATACTTTCACTTCATTGAGTGCTTGCTTTGCAAAAAAATTAGCGAAATTCTGACGAAGAAATTAGTTTGCTGTTGATTTCTTTGTCGCACTCCAAAAGTACGTATGAGAGTTAGGGAACATTTAGAGTCCGTTGGGTCTTACTGATTTAAATGCTGAAAAGTCGTCTCGTGTTCTACGTATAAATATACTTTTGTGTCCTCGTTGACAAAGCTTTTTCTTCAGGCTGCAGCATTGAGTAAAAAATGGCAAAATCGACTGAATGAAAAGACAGAAGTTGAGGAAGAGTTAAGAGGCGAAATCGAGAGGGTGTTGTCGGAAAAAGATTTAATTGATCGTGAAAGAGAAGAGTTTAAGTTTAAGCTGGAACTATCGCAAAATGAAGTGAAAACTTTAAAATTGAAGATGTCGACCTTTTCATCCAAACTGCTTGGTGTAAACACTGAGTTAGATGCTAGTAAGGTACGGACGTATGTTGTGAAAAAAAATATATCGTAATAAAGTAAATGGTTTGAACCGTAAATGTAAGTGTTTGAAAAGTAAATGGTTTCAACACGACGAAAAAAACAGATCATCGTAAAGCATAATCAAACTCGCCTAGTTTGTTTATTGTATTTTATTTTGTAAAAATTCCCAGTGTAACACGGCGTGTATATCTTTAGATACATAATATGTTTATGCGTGTATTCCCTTAAGGTGATTCCCAGTGTAACACGGCGTGTATATCTTTAGAGACATAATATGTTTATGCGTGTATTCCCTTAAGGGCATTCCCAGTGTAACACGGTGTGTATATCTTTAGAGACATAATATGTTTATGCGTGTATTCCCTTAAGTTGATTCCCAGTGTAACACGGCGTGTATATCTTTAGAGACATAATATGTTTATGCGTGTATTGCTTCTATTTTTTAGTTTCTTGTGAATTGTTGTTTTTCATCGTTACACAATTTCACAATTTATTGTTATTCGAATTTTTTGAAATTGAAATCTCGTGAAAAACATCTTAAAGTAAAACACGATGTGACAGAAGTGATGTGCCGATGTCTCAAATTCGTGTATTTAAATTTTCTCAACAGCAAAATCCAAAAGAGACACGAAAACACGAAATTAAGTATTCCATAGCAATTTATGATAAACGCATGAAAAAAAATTTTCGTTGCCAACGTCCTTTAATATAAACGTACATGTACATGTATATTGGAGTCACAGAAACACCAACTTCAAGGAAACGTTGTGATGAAAGAAAAAGAAATGCAAGAAGTATGTATTTTGAATGATTTGGGTTTTTTGAAATTCATAATTGCTTTTCTCTGTTAGGAACTTACGACGAAACATTGAAACATTACATTGGTGCGGTCACCTGTAAATCTGGTCGTGCTATGCAAACTTTTCTGTGTTTAATCATTGTAAAAACATTTTCTTTAAAAATGATTGATGATTGTGCTCAAAACTTTACATACCAGGAGTTCTACTTGCGGCCTTGCTACGCTTATGAAACATTTAAGTCACTAAAGCCTGTTTTCCACTTGCTACGTATTGTAACGTATCGTAGCAAAACGTAACATGACGCATGCGTACTTATAAATTTGATGGTCAATAGACGCAAGCACGCATGCGCCAAGTTACGTTTTGCTACGATACCTTACGATACGTAGCTAGTGGAAAACAGGCATAAGTCAGGTTTTTTTTATTGCCGATTTTATTTTATGACTTACCCACGGATTAGAAATGCTGCTTAAAAACATTCGTCTTTGCGAACTTCTTTGCCTTATTATTTCATTTAGAACTGTGAAATTTCCTTAGATAGAGATGCATGAATATAATCTGTACGTTTTTGTAGGCGGATTGTTAAAGTGATCCGAACCCTCTTGATCAACGATTTAAAAACGATACTTTCACTTCATTGAGTGCTTGCTTTGCACAAAAATTTAGCGAAATTCTGACGAAGAAATTAGTTTGCTGTTGATTTTAAGAAGCGCGATTTCTTTGTCGCACTCCAAAAGTACGTATGAGAGTTAGGGAACATTTAGAGTCCGTTGGGTCTTACTGATTTAAATGCTGAAAAGTCGTCTCGTGCTCTACGTATAAACATACTTTTGTGTCCTCGTTGACAAAGCTTTTTGTTCAGGCTGCAGCATTGAATAAAAAATTGCAAAATCGACTCGAGGAATAAGATTATATAACGAGGAATTTTAAATCGAATTTTGTTATTATTAATAATTACGAGTTATTTTTATTCCTTTTTCGGTGGTTCTTTTTGCATCTCTTTCCTCAATATCCCTTCGAGAAGAGTCGTTGCCTTTTTGCCCTGTTAATATCAATACACTTCGTGCGATGTTCACGTGTGCCCCTTCTTTTGTTTTCAATTTCTCTTCTGTAAAGACCTTCGTTTGTTTGCCGTGTTGATTTCCATGCAGCCCACGTGATGTTCACGTGTTAATTTTCTTTCAGGTCTTCCGCGTTTACTATGATCGGCTCGTGGATGATGCAGATCGTTCGTGGCTCATTGAGTTCATGAGTCTCAAAGTCGATTTCAACCGTGTGTTTCAACACCTGGACGTTAGTGCCGAAATTATAACCGAAGACAACCTGCGAAGCTTGATCTGTTGTAATTTTTCTGACCCAAAGAATGACAGTAAACCGTACGTGGAGGTTGCTGATCTCTTTCAATTGAGGAAGGTCGTGGAAGGCTGTCTGGAAGTGTTCAATAACATGAGCAAGAAACCCATCAAAAAATCTTGTATTGTTTAGGTGAGCTCATCTCCAGTTTGTAACTACAGTCGAGCCTACTGTAAGGAAACACCCTTGGGACGACGATCTTAAGCAAGGTGTCAAAAAGCTTTTTCACTTTAAATCTATGAAAGAATAAAATTAAAAATGTTCTTGAGTTTTAGATTGTTTTCAATTCATTATCTGACCTGACAGCTGCGTGCACCCGAACAGGGAGATTGGGAAATGTTTTGAGAAAATAGCTCTTGTGATCGCCCATCTTATAAAATGGTTCTGGTTGAGGTCTTGGCTGTGTTCGATCGTACCAATGTTGGCCAACATCTAGAATAAGTCTTAAGCATTCTGTCCAAGAAGATCCATAATCAAGAATCGTTCCATTCCTCACGCTCGTTCTAAAATAATTATACACATCAACATCCATTTGACTTTTTCAAACTGAGAATTCGCTATTCAATTGTTGAACGGCAATTGACTTGGGATTGTTTCTTTTAATCCGCTGTTGGTTTCCAACTTTACATAATAAGTCAAATTTCTCGTCATCTTACAGAAGATAAGGGTGTTTCAATGCCTCATTGGCTGATGGCCTGTCTTCTGGTTGTAGATTTAACATCCACAACAGAAGATCTTTCAGTGCTTCATCTTCGATTTCCATCAAGCCAACAGGGTTTCCATTCAGCATATTGTGCAATCTAACCCCTGTAGTTCCAAAAGGATGTTTCCCTCCTGTTGCAACATAATAGGCCACCATTCCCGCATTCTAAAATGGTAGAGAACAATATGTCACAAAAGTGAATTTTGTATATAATTTCAAAATGGTATCATTTCTACACCTACATATAAATCAGACTCTGTTTTGTAACGTGCTTCATCAACTGACTCTTCGTCTTCATTATATGATTCTGGAGCAATCCAGTACTTAGTTCCCACGTTAGCAAGGTTTCTAAATGTTTTGACGCCATCTTCCAATATTCGACAAATGCCAAAGTCAGCTAACATAAAATTGCTGTTTGAGTCACGGAGAATATTGGAAGGCTTCAAATCCCTATGAAGTATAGGACATTCGCCGCTATGAAGAGCAGCTAATCCTTGTAAAATTTGTCTGAGAATCTTGGGGAGAACTTTTTGAAGATCATTCAAAGTAGAAGACTTGACAAAACTCTACTTCCGTTGGAATGATGTAACATTCATATCAGTAGAGCGTCGGTTCTCTTGTAAATATAGTCTTGACGATGAACCTGTAACAAATTCAAAGTATAACTATTCAAATAAAAAATTGTCTTGTGTCCTTCCCAAATATTGAGTTAAAAATGAACTTTTTGTTCGGAGTAAGCTTTATTGTTTTTATTTTATCGTTACTTTGCGTGCGTTTTGGTTTATAACGTGTTTTTGGTTTATATGCGCGTTTTTGTTTACATCATTACTTTGCGAACAGCAACTGAATTCAATTACGTTACTACGTCGTTTAATGATCTGAAGCTAGCAAAAAAGTATTAAAAAGTCTATTTTATACCAATTGCTAAAGTTGGTCTATTTGCATCGACTACACTAACAAAATCCGCTTTACTTACCTGTCTCGGTCCCGACCTTCACGGTCTCGACCATCACGATCCCGAACCTCACGATCCCTTTCTCGGCGACGATCATGTCTATCGCAATCTCTATCACGGCCACGATCTCGTTCACGATCACGCCTTGAACGGTCACGATATTCACCACCACGATCACGTTCATTTCGCTCGCGATCCCTAAAAAAATAGTAAAATCCATTTTCAGGTCAATTTTAGGCGCTGTCTCATCCACCATGCAGGCATGAGTAGGCAGGGTCTTTCAATTCCAGAAGATTGCTTCAGAGTAAAAAGTGAAGTCTTGAGACATATGAAATGTTTATTGTCATTAAAATGAACTTCGCTTTATACCAATCCGAGCATTCGTGCAAATGTTTTTCATCACCAATAAAAATGCTAATAACAGAGCAAGAAATGTTTATAACAGAGCCCTCTATTACCAATACGATGAGCTACACCTTAATTTATTTTGCATTCGAATGGTAAATATCAAAGCCCAGAGAAGTGCTTTTAAAAGAGACCTCCTATACAAAGATAATATAAGAAAGAGTATATAGGAAGCATAACGTTACGTCTTAACTCGCAAGGCACATTAAAACTTTATAAATGTAGTAATAGCCTTTAATAAAAGAAAACTAAAACTCGTCGGGAGTAATGAGATTACTGGGGAACTAAGTCAAGGCAGGATTATGCATATTTATGTTTTTGTCTCCAGTTTATGAATTTTTGAAATAGTTTGTCATATTAGAATATGGATGTTGACTATCGACTTAATTCTATATGATTAGTCCAGCTTTTATTTTGCTTTAACACGTTTCCACGCGGTAAAACAGGGACTGCGCAGCAAAATCAAATCTGGAGGGGGGGGGAAGCCTGTTTTCCACTAGGCACGTGTAGTGAACTCCATATATATATATATATATATATGGAATGATAACGACAATACATTTTATAGATAAAAAGTTGAAGCCAAAGTCCTAGTCTCTTGCGCGGTTTGTACGTCAGTTCCAGTCCTTCAAAGTCGAATATTCACGCGGTTTGTACGTCAGTATCATTCCCCTGAGTGCCAAACACACACGGCCAATATAAATTTGAATACAAATTGCGAAAGCTTAAACATATAAACAACATCACGACAAACAACACACGAGGCCAACTCCTCGCAAAAGGTTATTTTTTACAGCTGAAACTTTACTACAGTGAGCTCGTTGTAACTTACAACTTGTAACGAGGAAAAGCCAACTGAAAATTGACTAAAAAGACAATACAATAGAAAATATGACGAGAAAATATTCAAGCATAAATTTTTCTTTCGTCGGAAGGTAAATTTTCAAACGGTGTCAGACAGTGTTTGATCTTATTTCCGAAGAAAATCTATAACTCGCATTTTTGCTTTTTACAGAGCGATTGTATTTTTAGTCGATTTTGATAGTGCTTGAAATACTAAATGGTTGTCATCTCGATATCAAAAATCGAATATCCTTATAGACTTTGCATGTCATTTTTTTGACTCTGAAGATGACTACCGCTAAGGTTGTCGAAACGTCAATCAACAACAACAAAAACAGTCCTTCTCAGGATTATACCAACCTGGACGATCTACATTTACAAACATGTAACGATACTCCCGGGTTCAAACCAAAGACTTTGATATGTTTTAAAGAAAAACCGCAGCGTAAGAGCAGATCGATCAAGTTCACCTCACCTTGCTTCTCGATTTATCACTTTGATTCACTTTCCGTGAACCTTTTCATTCCAAAGATTTCGTAATTTTTACGCTCTGGTCAAGATCCGAACTCTACCATTACCAAGGAACAAATGATTTAAAAAAATTAAAATGAACACGCGAGAGAATAGAGCCTGACGTGTGATGACGACTGATGATGACAAATATTTTTTTGGCTTCAGTTTTTGGCTTCGGTTATCATTCAAGTTATTCAAATGTCAAGATCATATCTTCAAACACCGCACTGCATAAAACATTCATATGACATTCATTTCACAAGAAAACATGAGCCCAACAATATTGACCTGCTCACCACTGTGTGACTTCATAGCTCAGTGGTCAGAGCACTGCACCGGCACCGTAGAGGTCATGGGTTCGAATCCCGTTGAGTCACCTGATTTTTTCAGGTCCTGAGGCGATTACTTAAATTGTCCAGCAAAGTGCGAAGATCATATCTTCATTTAATAATACAACATAATTATAGTTGTTGTAGAGTTCATTGATCTTTCATGATATGCATCGACGGAATCGCACTGCGCTAGGACACGGAATTATATTCCAACATCAAAAGAAGACATCGAAACTGTCGCGACTTTTCACCTCAAAATGGTCCGCACAAAGAGCTTGAATGCTTCTTTCGGAAGAAAGAGGCGTATTGAAGGAATTGTGACGTGATGATGATGATGATGACGTGTTAAGAAAGCGGAAACGGGCAAGAGCGTAGTAACTAAAATCTGCCAAAAGTCACGTTCAATTCTCTATTCATCGTCGAAGAAAAGTAACTTCATATAGGTTCAGAATGCAAGAGGAACATTTTCAGAAAAATTGAAATCGTTAATCGATATTCTGATCGTGTCAACAACGTAAAAAAAATGCGATAGAAAGAAAAATACTGTGGTAAATAATAGCCGTTTTCTAATTATAAGATAATAAAGTAAAGTAATTATCTAGTAAGTCTATAAAAATACAATATAAATAATGCACATGTCTAATTATACCGTGACGTAAAGGTCCTGCATTAAAGTAATACTTGGTCACGACTACTCCAAACACAAGTCATTTACTTCACTAGATTCACTAAATTTGGAAAAAATTAAAGCGATGAGCAACTAGAACAAACTTTCAAAAAATTAACCAGCACTGTTACGTCACTGCATAATTAATTTGGTACTACTTTTAAACAATTTAGTAAAAAGTGAATTGTATTAATAATTTTTTGTTCCCTCTCTAGATTTTGGATATATTTAAAAAAATCCTACCGTGTAGTTTTTTATTTATAAGGCTTTGTTTGTTAAAGAACAGGAATTCTTAACTTAAATATGCAATGTCATGCACGTTGCATGATAAAATCGTTATTTTTTACAACGAAGTCGTCAAAAGAAAAACACTAGGGAGTTTTAGCAGAGCCTACGAGTACGACTACGAGTACGATTTACGTCATTTTGGCGCGAAAACATTGTTGCGACAACAGAAACACGTAGCCGTCATCAATATGAGTACGATGTTTTGTAAAAAATTCGTAGTCGCGACTACGATGTCTTTTTAAGCAAAGAAAGTAGGTATATTTCTTCATTCTGTAAGAAATTAGTTTACAGTACTATTTTCGAGCATCCAGGCTTTAATTTAGAACCCTTTTTAAGCGCAGATGCACATTAAAGAGGAAAATATGAGCTGCAAAACTTTCATGTATTTCGTACGCAAAGTGAAAGGTAAACAAACAATAAAATAGTACAAATATATCGTACATAAAACTTAAAATAGTGAAGATTTTTCAGTCTAAAGAGTCCTATATTCTCGCAAAACCAGTATTGTCGATTCTTTGATATCATGATTGACAAATAGAGCCGTAGCTGCTTCGCAAACGTCGGTGTTTTACACAATAAAAAGGCTCGTTCTGTTGTTTACAACTAAAGCAAAATTTTGACAAAGCGACAACGACAACAAACTTCCTCGTTCCATTCCCTTACACGGTCAAATTTCGTACTCGTTCTCGTAAAAACTCCCTAATGACGACGAGAAACGCGAGAAACTTAAGGAGTAAGTGTCAATCTTGTGTAAATTGGTTTCATATTTATAATAGTTTTGTTCATATGGGATTTTTACTCATGGCAGTTAAAAATTTGCAATGCCTGACTATACTATGGTGAATTTTAGTTCTTCAAACTTTGGTCTTGTTTTGACTTAAGTCTTAATTGCTATCATACGAATTTTTCACTACTACTAGAATTCATATTTTGGTTATCTGATTATGTCATTTAAGCACATTGTTGTATTTTCTCGCTTGTTCCCGCCACTGAATCCTGTGTCTGGTCTTGTCTCCGTCTCTCCACTGACCGTAAATGATCATTGCTGCAATTTTATCGAAACACCCCCCATGTTCTTCTATTGTTATTTTTATTCGTGAATGCTACGAAATGGCACAAACAAATTTGTCGCGTGACGTAACGATTCATCGAGACTCGAGAGCCGAGAGGTAAGAAGACAGAAAATGGCGGCTATGCGAGAAACAATGTGTTATTTTACATAATATTTCATCTTCACCCTATCTTGTAAGAAATTGTGCCATGCAACACAACGAGAAAGGAGGCTAATTTCTTAGCGTTACTTAAATTTTAAAGATTTGGTTTTATCGCTTATTCGAGGATTGGGTTAATTTCAACGATACAACTCTGATCTTGCCTTGTCGAAAATGGACGACTATCCAGAACTAAATAGTCTATTGTCAATGGTACAACAAAACGATACACACAAGAAAATGATGGCCAGCGAAGAGTTGAAGAAGTATCTGAGTAATCCTCTAAGTCCGCTTACTGCTGATGCGATCGATTGCCTTGTCGACAACTTTAAAATATGGATAAACAGTGGAAATTATAAGGTTTGTCAACTCTACCATTTATAAATTTTAAAATTTTTATGTGGCGGCAGTTATTGATTCTTGTCCTGACGTTTTACTCACTATCACAAACAATGTTTTTCGCTCGAAAGCTCTAGAAATCCATTATTTATAGTTAATTTTGTATGGCTCTCTGTTGGAATAATTATAATTTTATATTGAAACGAATGTTTGCTTTATAAGCATTTTCGTTTTATTGAATTGATACTTTCATCATTTATTAAACCGTAGCTTGTAGCTTCACTGATAGTTTTGTTTAAATGAGCATCGCAGTAATAAGAAATAACTTGTGCAACTCATGTGATAGTATAATTCACATCTTAGTTTTATATGATTTTGAAACAAAATGAAATAATTCGGTTACATGTGTTATTATAGCAACGTAGGAACCTTAAAATGGTTGTGTAATTTTACATGACATTCCATCAAAAGCCATACGAGACATTGAAGTACAAATGAACCATTTACACATGAAATTAATTTTGAAACCGTGAAAGTTGCTGTGTTAAATGGAATTAATTGCTTGGTACAGAAATTTCTTCAAACATCTTTTGTTTTTAATATAGAGAGTCATTCAAACTTTACTAATATGTTGTATTTATGAATGTTTTACCCTTTTTCATATAAATTATAAATTTATGCAAAATTGTGATATGGTGGTTTTTCATTATACTATTTTCGGTGATACACATCAATTGTGACATAAACTTATAATATATTATTGGCAGAGCTCACAATAATTGCTGGTTATAGGGCAATGATCTGCTGAAAATGCTTGTAGACTGACCAAATTTTTACCTTGATAATCATTTTGACCAACCACATTTTTATGTTTTTCCCAAAAGTACTATGGAATAGGCATGCAATCCATAGTAAGATCTCAAGAAATTAAAACATCAAAAATGATAATTTGTTGTCTCAAATTATTTTTTAACGTTCTTTGATACAATTTATGCATGAATTGAATGGTTTAAACGTTTTGTGAGTATCGTTACATGCATGTTTGTAGATGTAAAACGTCCTGGTTAGTGTAGTCCTTACAAGCACTGTTGGTGTTGGTGTTAACTGACAATTCAACAACTTTAGCAATAGTCATCTTTAGAATCAAGCAAGGACTACAAGTGCAAGTTACTTCTCACTTTACTCTGAAGGTGACTACCATTGTGTTGTCAAAACCTCAGTCAATAATGAATGAACAGCTCTCAGGACACCATTAACCAGAATGGTCTACACCTAAAAATAAGCAATTTATGAGTATTGGTGACTGGTCAAAAATCGTAATACATCATGACAGAAGGCATTTTGTCTGTTATTTTGAGCCCTGATTATTAGACAAAATTATGTAATACCAACTTAATTCTCACTGACATGGCACGGGATAGATTTAGAGGAGCATGCACAATGAGGTAGCCTTGGCAGGGTTTTGCGAGGGGCATATGATAATAAAAGGTAACAGAAGTTTACCAAGAAAAATCTGTCATGCTATAGTAACAAGTAGCAATTGAAATACAATCCAAACTAGAGGAACCATCACTACGTGGCTCATATAAACAAACTACACTTTAATTTTATTATTTCTTTATGCAATTTTGAACAAAATAGAAATATTTATTATCAAAGAATAGTGTTTTTATGAATTTTTACAACTCTCTGCTTCCATTAGATCAGTGCTAGTGGTTTGGAATTATTTACAATTCTTATTAGAAGAGGTGGAAAATCTGTAAAATTGAATTTGAATAAAGGTAAGTATGGATTAGTGCATAACAAATAAAAGCTATTTTTTGTATACCTTTACTGTTGTCCTTGTTATCTTGTGTTAATAGTTGTCCCTATAATCATTGATCGCCTTGGTGATAGCAAAGCAGTGGTATGTTATAACTTATGTGATACCTTTTCTTCACCGAATGGCTAATGATAACTTTTAAGAAAGTCTTTAAGAAACACTACCAGTTATACAGGGTGTAACAAAAATTACACTACACAAAGTATTAATACGATTACACACAAGGGAATTCAATGATATTTTGTTTATATGAATTCAAACAAATAGCCTATGATTGAACTTCCTTGATTGTAGTCATTATGATTAGCAGATTTTTATGAACAATGAAATAATCTCTATTTATGGTGTCACTTTTTTGGGGGGTATACTTTGTACTGTATTTATAACATAACATAATTTCAACCATATAGGTTCGAGAAAATTCGCGATCATTCCTTCAGGAACTAATGCACTCATTCACCCCTCAGGTGCGTAAAACATTTCTTGTTGTGTGTATTGTAAATAATTGGCTCAACTAGTTTAATATTTACTCTGTTATTAGTCATCATGATACGTTGCTTTTTTTTGCTGAAAATTACCAACATGTTTAACAAATTTATATGAAAATGAAGAATTTGTCATAGTGACTAATTTAAATATTACGTTGAAAAGTTCAATTGCTATGGTGAATGGCCAATAATTTGATTACTAAACTGATGCTAGAAATGCAAAGAGTTGAAAATTATACAATGTTAAAGTGAAACAAAGACAATATTAAAAATTTAGGATGCACTTTCATTCTATATGCATAGTAGTTGAAAATTTGCTGTTTTTCAGGTTGTGTTAGATTTGTTGATACCAGCATTTTCTCATAAAGGCTTTAAAGTTCGTGAAGAAGTTATGACATGTTTCATGGATTCAATCAATGTGTAAGAAAGTTTGTCTTTATTGTTTTACACATGTCACAGTAACATAATCGAAACTTGTTGTTTGGATTTTACATCGCTATGTGCATTAAGGATGTTGTACTTAGTTTTTGTGATGCATTAAGCATGTGAACTGTATGTGGACAGTTTTGCTGATTGCGAAGGTTTAGTAAGATGTAGATCAACAGAAACATAGTTTAAATGGGAAAAATTGATGCAACCTGTATGAACACATATGTATATAGTAGTTGTTTTGTTTCGTCTTGCTACAAGGTCTCTGTATTCAACACTAAAAAGGTATTAACATGTTTATCAAAACAAATGGTTAACATTTCATGTATTTCTCTATCTTTTATTTTTATATCAGATTTGGTGTAACCAATTTGTCTATATCAAAGTTCACCCCTCATATATGCAAATTATTGGGTGATGCCAACAGTCAGGTACGTATATTGTTGTACATACTACTCATATTTCATAGCATGTTATTATAAAGTAGTTAGCATTCCAATCTAAAACTTTTTGTATACATTTTTACTCTTGCTGATGCCGACTGTTTGTTCGCCGTAAGAAAAATGTTGTCGCATATAAATTATAACATTTCTGTGTTTTTTACATATGATTTTGATGCAACCATTAATGGAATTTTAAAATTAGCGTCGGTTGAATGATTTTTTAATGAACCGTTAATGTGCTCTTTCTATTCACTAAAGGTGCGGGATAATGCCATTCGTACTCTTGTTGAAATATATCGACATGTTGGTGAAAAAGTTCGCATTGATTTAAGTAAAAGAGGAATTCCACCTACAAGGTATACAGTTGTCACCATTTTCAATTTATTCGTCAATAAAGGTCTCGTATTATTTCAAAATCAAGCAAAAACTATATCAACAACGAGTTTTATTGCAAATTAATTATGTAATTTCTTATGAAACGGGATGAGGCACAAACCCAATTTGATTAACATGTGTCTTTTTTACGACCTCTTATTGGTTCTTTGACGAGTATTTGAATATATTGCACTTAAAGAAAATTATCGTATTTCAACGCCTATAATTTGTTTTCGAAACAAAATTTTGCATCAATCGTTTTGTGGTGCATAATTGGTCTAAACTAAATTATAAATTGTAAATAATCACTTAGCTTGATAATGACGTTGAAATAAATTTGAGATATTGCTTTTAAATCGCGTCTCTTAATAACTCAAATTTTGAGTTTGCATGATGATGTTTTTTGGAGTGTGTTTTACTCATTAATTTTCCGAATTGTCAGCTGGAAAAGGTTTTTCAATGAAATTGTCGAGCAGAAGATTTATAATATTTAAGGAGAAATTTAGACAGTGTGCATTTGGAGTATAATTTTTATTTTCTGATTTTTTTATCGGTAGACTTTCATTGATCAACTCAAAATTTGATGAAGTGTTAAAGTCTGGTACTATGATTGCTTCGGCTACGGACGGTAGGATTCGTATAATTTGATCGATAATTTTTATGCAAACTATATCCATCATTGCATTAAACATGTACACGCAAGTGTGTGTTTGGTAAACAATATCAATCATTGCACCTAAGCATCATTTATGTACACGCAAGTGTGTGTGGTAAACAATTTCTGTCATTTCTCAAATCATCGCATCAAATTATAAAGTTACAACCAATGTTTTTAATGTCAATTGAAGAACAGTTTTTTAGCACATGGTTTTCACTGAAGCTTTCCACTATCCTTTGACCTCCATTTTTTGAGGTTATGTTAATGATTTTATTCAATTTTCAGTCTGCCAACAATGCTACCAACAGACTCATAAATATATTGCCTCTGTGATATTTCTTTAGAAAGCTGTGCAAACCATATTTTAAATCAATCATTTGTTGTAAATGTGGGTAACATCTCTGAAATTCTGCTGCACGCTATGTAGGTGTCTAAACTTTGACTGTGTTTTCTGTTAATAAAAAATTCTGAACATTGTAAGTTAAGGCAATTGTTACTTTTTCTTGTTGGTATGTATAAACAAATGTTGAACAAAATACTAATTTTGTTATAGTTGTTCATTCCAATTGTAGTAAAATACATTTTAGTCATCGGATTTTATTTTTATCATGCGATGGATTTTTTCTCACGATATCACAAAAATTGCCTTTGATTCTGCGTTATGTTTTCTGTACAGTTTCTTTAAATTTTATTTTTACTTTAAATTTTCATACTTGCGTATACTTCGGTTTAGTTTGTTTCATTCTAGTTTTAATATTTAATATTTTTGTTAATAATTAATCACTTAAATTACATATTTATTTCACGAAAGTTTACTCACGCAATATACTTGTGCTAAATGGAGTGATGGAATAATTACATAAAACGTATAAAAACATAGCGACTTTTTTATTACAATGCTGCGAAGATAGACTGCAAAGACAACATTAAGCTACGCAGTTACTTGTACGGATTTTATGGAGTATTTTGTTGCAATTTGTGAAGGAAATTTCTTACTGTGTGGTGTGTGTACGTCTGCCCATGCAGACCAGCTGGTAAATACTGTTTATCGTCTGTCAAGAAAGTACTGGCTTTTCATGTACTATGACAAGGATATCTTTTTAGTTGTCGAAAAGTGAACGAAGACTGTAAATATTTGATTATCATGTTTGCGTGGAGTCGATCTAGATTAGTTTTTATGTTTCAAGATGTTTCAGAGTAGCTATTGCTTTTTGTTTAAAACCTATGGAAAACGAAACATTTTCAGCGCTTTCTAAAGAATATTACGAACTTTTACACGATATAAATCACATGTGCGAGACGTTTCGTTCGCAGGGTATGTTTTTTCTAGGATATTTTTGTAAGATCATTTTACATTTACGTTACATTTCGAATTTAAATGCATGTCGATTTGTTGTAGAGCGCGGGCTCAGGACCAACGTATGCAGAAATAATGCAAGTACACTGCTCTATGTAATTATAGAATGAGTGTTTTTCACCGCTCTGTTCTTAGCAAATGCGGTGGAGTGTTTACCAAGTTGCCATCTTTTGCAGACAAGGTCATCCAAGATACTGCAGGAAATATTCTGGTTATGGGAGGGGGTCTATTGTACAGAAATTGTTTTGGATGGCTTTATCATATATCTTGCGCGCACATTTCGTTGTAACATTTGAGTATTCGAGAAATTGTGCAAGCACTATACCAGGTTATGACCTTTGTCTCCTATATTTTCATTCTAACCCTTTGTTTGTTGTTTGCGTTCTTGTTTATTCAAAACCATTTGAAATTTTTTTGCAACATAATTATTGTCCCCAATGCAATTAATGACGTTTGCACATGAATGCAAGTAAAGAAGCGAACTAAATGATTGTAGTTGGAGAAATAGTCTTAGTTATTCTATTGATGTCTGAAAGTTAAAACTAGTGAAATGACATGCATTTTGACGTCATGCTAATTGACGAAACTTGATTACCTGAACTAAAGAATGTTTCATCTCATAGCTAGGTATCGTTATAACAGCACGGCTCTTTTAGTCGTCACTGTGTAAAAATCTATAATCGCTGTTCATCGCTGAGGAAATACTGCAGTCACGGCATGATTTCCAAAACATTGAATCACAACCAAACCATTGGTGGTGTGCTACAATATTTCTTACTTCTGAAAGTATTTTTTAGTCTCGTTGCAAGTAAAAAGTTTTACATCGTATAGCTAAATATTTTATAAAAAAAGCAAGTAAAAAGTTTTACATCATATAGGTGAATATTTTATACAAAAAAAAAACACACCAAAAAACAATATGCTTTATGTTACATGTCAAAGACTATTTCATTCTTTAGTGACTTTATGTCAGTCTTGAAGTATGTCATGTGTGGAAGAAATATTTGTATAGCAATGCCTAGTCAAAATTTGTTTTAAGTGACTTGTTCTGGTGGCGATTTTTCCATCTCTTTAGCATTACCACACACGCTTGTTAAGTTGTTTTTTAGTTGTTTTTTAGTTGTTTTTTAGTTGTTTAGTCACTGATGGGCACTGGGGCTAGGCGAGAATATAGTATTCTATTTACGCAACAGCAGTCTGTTTTTTATGAAGTAAAGCATCTTTAAAGTATTTGTCATTACGTACAATTAATTTTTATTATTTAGGTCCACCAAAAGCGAATGGGGATGTACAAGAACCCGTCAAGGTAATTGTATCAGAGAGAAAATTTCTAGTGGTTTTTGCGTTTGTGGCAAGCTTAGTATTTTATACGTAAAATTGTCTTAATTAAACATGAAAAATCCCCCCCTCCACTGATCTCATTTCATTTGCTTTCACATTTCTGCTCTTCACTTTAAATGTACGTACTGATAGAAAATTCCATTTTTGAACAAAAGAGTAAAGTTTTCCTGGTGTTTTATGAACTAACTAAGACAATATTTCTTACATGTTGAATTTTTTTTGTATTTTAAAATGCATTACCTGTTACATGACTTCTTAGATAGTTTATCACTTTTGCTTTTGTTTTCTTGTGGATCTGGTTATCCAGTGATTAAATCTAAAATGACAGCAATTTCATTTCCCAAACCACTAAAAGTCGTCCATGTTTTAAATGTGTACGTGATCACTGAACAGCGTTATGTGAAATTCTAAAGTATCGATTACACGAATTTTAAAAATTTTTACTGGAAATGTGGTCGCTCGAAAAATTTTTGATGTGTCTGAAACAGTTTATTGTTTTTGAAAAATGAAAATTTATGTAGTTGAACACATTGTACTTATCTGTTGTACTCAGACACTTATATCCATAACACCTGCTAAATGAGTGGTTGGAAAACGCTTTTTGATTACAAAATTTTTCACACTTGTAGAAAAGAGTAAAAACGAATAGGGAAACATTAATATGTGTTTTGTGAATCCTATGGTGACGATATTGTCGATTTCTTTCGTAAAATATATAGTCCCCTCGGTTTGACTGAATGCAAAGGTTTATAAGCATTACAGCCTAATCCTTTTAAAGTGTATTGACACTCATTCTGCACATTCGTCTCCATAGAGGCGAGAAGCAAGTGTTAAACTGAAGAAATCAAATTTGCGAAATGAAGCAAAAAGCGAAGGATCCTCAACATCAGGTAGTTAATAAAATGTTTATTTTAAGTACAATAAACGTTTGTGTAAATGTTCCTTTTATCTTTTGCGTTTTATAGGACTTGCTGCGGGTGCTGTCGATGAAAATGATTTTCTTCGAGCATACACGGATACTCCAACTGTCCAGGTTTGTTTGCATTTGCATTTCTTTACAGTTGATTTGAATTACTTCTGTCTTGGGAAATAAGAAATAAGATATATCTTTGTAAAAACATATCAGTCCAAAACAACTGGTGTCAATTTGCTGTGTCTGCTGCTACTTCATGTCTATCATTGATCTAAAAATGTATAAAAAATATCAATTTTCACAGATTGGTTCGGCCAGAGAGTTGAGTGATGCGTTAACAAAGATTTCCAACGCGTTATCAAGTCCATCAGATGACTGGGAGGAACATGTTGCAGCAGTAAGTGTTCACCATATTTACTTTTGCTTACTATGTATATGTATACTAAAGAATATGTATATCTCTTTTGCTATGAAAACGTGTGTGTGAATGTTTGATTTTTTCCATCGTGGTCAAGTAATATTAATTTTATGAATCCGTCGTATAGTTAAAAAGAGTCCGTAGTTTGGTGGACGGAGGTTCGCTTGATTTTGACTTTATGACACAATTGAAGCCTTTGGAAGGTGCTTTTAATGCAGCTGTAAGTTTTCTTCGTTCTTTTCTTTCAAACACGTGCTTTAAAACTTGAACTTATTATATATACGTATTTTATTTTTTGTCAGGTCAAATCATTGAGATCTGCTGTGGCTAGAGAGGCATGTGTGACATTGAGGTTAGATTATATCATGTGCAGTTAATTTAGTATCCTAACTTTAAGTTCAATCTTCTAGTTTCTATTTTATAATTCAAACTTTAATCCACTTGCTGTTTATTGAAGTCATTTTCTGATGCTGAATATTTTATTTATTTTCACTGCTACGTAAGCATGTTCGCGTTGTCAACATGCCATTAAAATGCATTAATTCAATTTAAATTAGAAATAATGAATTGTAAATTGACAATAACTTTCTTAAACTCACCACCACCCAACAAAAGTTTCTATGTATTCTGGAAATTGAAAATCCTGCTTGCATGAAGTCGTTGAAAAGCAAATTTTTACTTTCTCTTTCACCAAAACGTTTTTCTGCGATGTAGCTATAACTTTACGTGTTTTTTTTTAAAACTGTTAATGAACTTGTAACGCTCCCAAATCATATTTTTTAAAACGTCGTAACTCTAAAGAGAACAAATTTGGGTATCATTTGGTCTTTGTTGCCTCGAAACATACTTTGTCCTTACCTCCGCTTCCCCTTCCCCAAAAAAACGCCACTAACCCTTCGTGGCCTGAAGTCGTAATGCAAAATCTATAGATGCGCTAATTCTTTATTCTTATTCATTCAAAACCAAATGCTCAAAAATTTGGCCCTGTTAACATGTGATGGGAGAAGTTAGAATTTTATAATCCTCTTAGGTCAGTTTGATGTGTAAGTTCTTTTGACTACGGTGTACAGTTAGCTTCGGGCATTTCAAGGATTCAGGCTACACAGGATTCCAACTTCAGATACTCACGAAGTATTTTGTTTCATCGCTTTCTTGGTGATAGTGTTTCAAGTAATTTCCCTCAATGCCATCCCTGGGAAATATATCCTGATGAAATGCTTGAACCAACGAAGAAAATTTCTTTAAGTTGAGTTGTATAGCTGCAGTTAATTTATAATGCTCTTTGGTTTCAGCTATCTTGCTACAAAACTTGGCAATAAATTTGGTCCAGTCGTAGACTGTATTCTTCCAACGGTAATTGACCTAAACGCGAACACTGCGACTAAGGTTTGTAGACATCTGTGTCTTTCACTTTTTCTTATATACCTGCATGTTTTTTTTTATTTTTACCTTTCACATGAGTCAAATACTTATTACAAAAAAAGCTGTTCTACTACATAGTTTGTATTTTTATTCAGGTAATGGCTTCGTCTGGGGATACATGTGCAAAGATAATCATTAAGGTATTTTTTATTGTTTTTGCTTGTACGTATATGGTATACGCAAAGGGCCAGAAACCAAAAGGAAACTGTCTGTTTATTTTAATCTATCAACTATTTTGTCGAATGCTATTTGTCTTGTATTATACTTATCATTATGAAATATAGCCAGTGTTATATTTTGTAGAACACCCATTATCCCAGACTTATTCTTCACATTACTACTCGAATGGCGTCAAGATCAACACCTGTCCGAATGTAAGTACATTTTGGGAAATGCTCTAAATTTGGAATGGTAGGGTCCTGTACTTTGCTCAGATTAGAATCTGCTTTGAAAGAAATCAGCATAACTTTTATTAGATAACTTTTATATTTAACTTATATTAACTTTAAATTATATTTAAAGACACATGATATAATTTACTAATACAGTGTTTCACGTTTTTCATACTTTGCGTGAAACATTGTGTAGTGAATCATTTCAAGTTTTATTGAAATATAATTTCAAAGCTCTATCTGCTCTGATATTGAACACTTTTATTTTTGTATATACATTTTATTTGATATTGTAACTTGTATCAACCATTTAGTATAAATGCTATTTATGGCTTTTGCATTTCTAGTCGTTGCGCAGATTATGTTGTGCTACTTTTGGAATATTGGGAACTGCATTATCTAAAATCGTAAGTATAGAGAGCATAGAAAGAATATTCTTTCTTTCCTGCTTTGTGCTTGAGAATCTTTCCAAATTAGAAAACATAATCATATATGCACACAATGCTACATAGAGCATCTTTTTTTCATCTATTTTACTTCTCAGACATGTTGATGAATTAGAGAAGGTTGTTCGAAATGGCTTAAGTGACGCAAGTTCTGATGTCCGTGCAATTATAAGAAAGTATGTATGTGATTGAGTTTTTTTCATTGACTTTTTCAACTTATTTAAAACTTTGAGTTTATACTGACGTATTAGAAAATTTTAATTTGTATTTCAGCATAAAGTATTTCTATTTACTTAAATTACTTTTGCCTATAATTTTCAACGTATTCTTTTGCATTGTCCATTTGACCTGTTCATGGTTACGACTATTGGCGAGCTCGTGTTTCTCATGCGATCAGTGAAAATTTATATTTAGTTAATCTCTTTTTTACCGAAGGGCGTTTTGGCAATTTTCGAAATTATTTAAAGACAAGGCAGACAAGTATGTTATTGTAAATTGAATAGTTTTTATTTGCTGTTTTTATTTTGCTTCGTTTGAAATGATTTGTGTTGCAGCCACATACATCAAGCTTCTTTTTTCCATCATTCAGAATGTTCAATGACTTAGACAGAAGCAAACAAAAACTACTTGAAGTTGACAAAAAGTCTTCTGATATTGATCATACAGTTGAAAAATCGACGAGTTCTTCTCGCGGGTCAATAAGAACTCGACCGACCAGTGCGACTTCAAGGTATGTTATTCACCTTGATTGGCAGGAACCATTAACTAGACTTGCACTAAACATAAAACGTAAAACTCAATGCTTTGGGAACTAGACCGGCACTAAACATAAAACGTAAAACTCAATGCTTTGGGAACTAGACTTGCACTAAACATAAAACGTAAAACTCAATGCTTTGGGAACTAGACTTGCACTAAACTTCAATACGTAAAACTCAATGCTTTAGGAACTAGACTTGCACTAAACTTCAATACGTAAAACACAATGCTTTGGGAACTAGACTTGCACTAAACTTCAATACGTAAACCTCAATGCTTTGGGAACTAGACTTGCACTAAACTTCAATACGTAAAACACAATGCTTTGGGAACTAGACTTGCACTAAACTTCAATACGTAAAACACAATGCTTTGGGAACTAGACTTGCACTAAACTTCAATACGTAAAACACAATGCTTTAGGAACTAGACTTGCACTAAACTTCAATACGTAAACCTCAATGCTTTGGGAACTAGACTTGCACTAAACTTCAATACGTAAAACACAATGCTTTGGGAACTAGACTTGCACTAAACTTCAATACGTAAAACACAATGCTTTAGGAACTAGACTTGCACTAAACTTCAATACGTAAACCTCAATGCTTTGGGAACTAGACTTGCACTAAACTTCAATACGTAAAACACAATGCTTTGGGAACTAGACTTGCACTAAACTTCAATACGTAAAACACAATGCTTTAGGAACTAGACTTGCACTAAACTTCAATACGTAAAACACAATGCTTTGGGAACTAGACTTGCACTAAACTTCAATACGTAAAACTCAATGCTTTGGGAACTAGACTTGCACTAAACTTCAATACGTAAAACACAATGCTTTGGGAACTAGACTTGCACTAAACTTCAATACGTAAAACACAATGCTTTGGGAACTAGACTTGCACTAAACTTCAATACGTAAAACACAATGCTTTGGGAACTAGACTTGCACTAAACTTCAATACGTAAAACACAATGCTTTGGGAACTAGACTTGCACTAAACTTCAATACGTAAAACACAATGCTTTGGGAACTAGACTTGCACTAAACTTCAATACGTAAAACACAATGCTTTAGGAACTAGACTTGCACTAAACTTCAATACGTAAAACACAATGCTTTGGGAACTAGACTTGCACTAAACTTCAATACGTAAAACACAATGCTTTGGGAACTAGACTTGCACTAAACTTCAATACGTAAAACACAATGCTTTGGGAACTAGACTTGCACTAAACTTCAATACGTAAAACACAATGCTTTAGGAACTAGACTTGCACTAAACTTCAATACGTAAAACACAATGCTTTGGGAACTAGACTTGCACTAAACTTCAATACGTAAAACTCAATGCTTTGGGAACTAGACTTGCACTAAACTTCAATACGTAAAACACAATGCTTTGGGAACTAGACTTGCACTAAACTTCAATACGTAAACCTCAATGCTTTAGGAACTAGACTTGCACTAAACTTCAATACGTAAAACACAATGCTTTGGGAACTAGACTTGCACTAAACTTCAATACGTAAAACACAATGCTTTAGGAACTAGACTTGCACTAAACTTCAATACGTAAACCTCAATGCTTTGGGAACTAGACTTGCACTAAACTTCAATACGTAAAACACAATGCTTTGGGAACTAGACTTGCACTAAACTTCAATACGTAAAACACAATGCTTTGGGAACTAGACTTGCACTAAACTTCAATACGTAAAACACAATGCTTTGGGAACTAGACTTGCACTAAACTTCAATACGTAAAACACAATGCTTTGGGAACTAGACTTGCACTAAACTTCAATACGTAAAACACAATGCTTTAGGAACTAGACTTGCACTAAACTTCAATACGTAAAACACAATGCTTTGGGAACTAGACTTGCACTAAACTTCAATACGTAAAACACAATGCTTTGGGAACTAGACTTGCACTAAACTTCAATACGTAAAACACAATGCTTTAGGAACTAGACTTGCACTAAACTTCAATACGTAAACCTCAATGCTTTGGGAGCTAGACTTGCACTAAACTTCAATACGTAAAACACAATGCTTTGGGAACTAGACTTGCACTAAACTTCAATACGTAAAACACAATGCCATGTATCTTGTGACTCCGTAGTTAAGTATCGAGTGTCATAAGTATGAGACGTAAAGTGACACACACATGATTTTCCTTCGTGGTATTGGATAATTACACTTTTCACTCTGTTGAAATTCCAATTTGAGAAGAAATTTTCACGTAGAAAAACTTGTGATATGTACTGTATGCACTGTATTTACTTCCCTTATGACTTATTTATAGTAAATATTGTGAGAAAGATTTAGTATTTTGTGTAAGATTGATATGTTTTATTAAGAACGTTTTTCTTTTTAATGTAACAGCAGTTCTTTGTCTTGTAGAGTAACGAGGACTGATGTAGTCACTAATAATAAACCGACAAGATTAAATTCAAGAGAGGGTATGCTCCTTGTACTAGCTAAGTCAATTAATTTTCAAACAAAAACATTTCTACTGTTTGTATTTTATTATTGTATATGTGATTTTGACTATATTCTATAACTAAAATCAACAGCCTCACCAGGACGTCGAGCGTTACCTGGTAAGAAAAATAACTCTTCAACTCCCAGTCGAATGGTTGCTAGATCAGTCAGTAGTGTCGATGCTCGTGCAGCTGAACGAGCGCGCATGCGTCGTAGATCAAGAACAGAAGATGCAGTTAAACCGTCAAACTATGCACCAAGTGATGTTAGACCTAGACCATCACGGTCTTCATCGAAAGTCGTTCATCGAGGATACATGTCACAACGTATGACGAAATTATTTTCTCTATTTTGGTTCTTTTTTCTTAAGTTTCGTGTGTTTGCTTGTACAACTCAGCATTTTAGAAGTCAAGGAGTGGTTTACTGCATTTTTGATCATTAAATATATATCTTTCAACACATACAGTTGTTGTGCAAAAGAATACTTTAATTAGATCTTCGTTTATCTTTCTGTAGCTGCTAGTCGCTCTACTTCACCTTCACGCCTCCATTTTATGTTTTCACCGAAAGAAAGATCAAACGTATATTCTACTATGGCAAGTCCTTTAAGATCAAAAATACCGACACCAAAGTGAGCATTACTCCTCAAAAATATGTTTACCAGTAATCAATTATTATTATATATAGTTTATTAGAGCATACCTATAGATATGTCGCTGCATGTATTGTTTATATATAGTCCTTTGTTTATGTTCATTCTAGTTCCCGTTCTGCATCACGATGCAACTCACGTGCCAGTAGTCGTGATCCTAGCCCTACACGTGATCGTGGTTTACGTAGTTTCAGTAGCAGTAGCTTACATGGAAGGAAACCATCTCATGGTAAGACTTACTTTCATAACAGTTCTTTGTTCGTTGAAATTATAGAATGTATCTCGCGCTGATAAAACAGTTTGTTCTCTAAGATTGTTTGGTTTTTTGCCTTTAATTATTGAATGTTGTAATTGTATTTTGATGACCGTAATTATTTCAAAGTAGCTAGTCACTATATGCGTTCTTACCTTATTCTGTCCGAGGTCACAACTGCTTACTCGGACAGAATAACCTTGATTGCTATGTAACTTAGCAATCGATGAATATTAACGAATATATTATTGATGACATATTAACCTTGATTGCTATGTAACTTAATTTAACTTTTTTTTTCAAGTACTCTGCTTATCATCTGGTTCAATTTCATGTTTTTAATAATTTTTTTGGTTGGAAGGGAGGGGAGGTGATTGAGAAAATTACTGACTTGGTTGATTAACTACTTTACATTTGCATAATGATGTATCCGTCTTATACAGTGAGGAGACTGGATGCGAAGGATTTTACCGAAGCTGCTGTTTGGGATGCTTTGGTAAGAATAACATTTTACATAGAGAGGTGGATAACTGTAGTTAAAAATATTCCTGATCAATTATCAAACAACAAATTTAATTAATTTAACTGATAATTTGGTAAACTTCGCCATGTTTTTTTTACTATTATTATAAATGTATAATTCTTTCTTTTGCAGTCGAAAAGTCCACGACCGCGAAATTACTCGTTTAATTCAACATGTTCTGAAGAACAAGATGAAGGCAGTGATACATCTAGTGTACACTCAGATAGATCATCTTCTGTTATGACAACTCTGGTTGGTTTTTCTTTCTTTGTACTCTCATTGTATATACTACACATCTTTTGTTGTATGTCTGGTGAAAATAACTGTTTTTACTACTTCAAATGATATACATCATTTGCCTTGGGGCGGATTAATGCTCGTTTGACAGGAGGGGTGTGCATCATTCTCCTAGCTAATGGTGCGGGGGGCTTGGGCTATTGGAGTTTTGTAGACTAACAAATGAGTTAACCTTAATAACAAGTAACACTTTGTATTATGAAGTTTGAGTGACACCTTTATTCATAATGGGTTTTTTTCACATGCAGGAGACCGCCAAAAAACTTATCCTTAATCACTTGAAGAAAGTTGACAATGATCCTAGGGCGTACATTTCAAAGTCCGATGTATCAAACGCAAAACCGCCATCCTCTCCTGGTCGCCTTGGTTACCGTAGTATTCCTCTCGCAGCGCCAAGACATTCGAGCAATGGCGATGATCCGGTTGCATCTGTAGATGTTGTTTCCAATGCACTTTCCCCGTTACAACGAGAGGATAGTGCAACATCTCTACGCTCGAATGAAAGCTCTGAATCCTTAGAAGGAAAGAAAGCATGTGGAAACCCCCCGGAAAATTCACCGAGTATTACGTCATCTGGTTATCATAGTGATGAGATTCATACAAATGATACAGTAATTAATAACAGCTCACGTCATGTGTTACATTCAGAACCGAAATTACCCACAAGTCCCTCCTTCTCTGTCTCTAAAAATACTGAGTACGATGCTTCTCGCTATCAAGATGAAACATCTCGTGTTTCGACCGTAAGTAGTAAATAAAAGTGTTCATTGAAGTTGGTGCTAGTTGTCAAGTTATTTAATTTTGCAGGATTCAAGTGTAAATGGTGTTGATACCGTACAAGATAATGTGACAGTATCCCTATCGAATGAATCGTCTGATACATTTAATAAAGGTTACAATCTTATTTTACTATAACATTGTAATGTTTTCACTTCTAAACACTGACTGTTTTAAAGAAATTGAGATTCTAAACTAGAAGCGTATTACTATTTTTATTACTGATGCTAATATCATACGTACTTAACATGTTAAGGTGTGTGTTTGTGCAAAATTTCGTATTATAAAACATAAACTTGAAACTGAACATCGAAAATGTTTATTTAAGTTAATTTTCATTTCATGATATATTTAATAGCTATTCATGATGATGTTGAATCAATTCGTCAGCTGTTGTTGATCCTTCTCTCTGACACCAATATCGATGTGAAACGGAATGCCTTGACGGACCTTTTGAAAATGGCTAGGGAATCTTCACCAAGTTTGTGGGAGAGTCAGTTTAAGGACATTTTAATGTCTGTAATCGATAAAATGAAGGATCCAGATTTAAGTTAGTTATTTTATGAAGATGTTTTATGTTGATGTATCATACCGCAGTCTCCAGTCTGCATTCTGCTATTATAATTTTCATTAAGGCTTCAATCAGAGCTCTTGCAGTGCGAGTTATCCGTGATATGGTCAAAGCTCAGCCTTATAGCTTGAATGAACTCAATGGGCTTGTTATATCCGAAATATAACATCTACACAAGGATAACGATAAAAACGTGAGTATAGATAAGATAGCTACATTTTATTGAAAGTTACTGAAATTTTGGTTTAAGGTTGCTTTTGTTGTCGACTGTTAAATTGTCCATATCATTTGTGGAGGGTTTTACGGAGTCTGAAAATTTCCGTAAAAATTCTCAGATATATGTTGATTTTGTTTAATAGTTTTTGTTATTAAATCTTTTAATATCGACGTTATGTTAAAGTACCGTCATGGGAATCAGAAGAGACTAAGATAAAATATACGTTAGATGTTTGTAGGTGTTAGTGCATAATTAGTGTATGATGGGTAAAGTGCGCTGATATATAAATTTTAAGATACGACCTTTTGTCGAAATTGTCATTTATACTGAGTTTAATGCGATGTTGGTTGTATTCATTTTATATACATATCAGTATAGATTTGCCGTTGTAGTGCTTTTTTAAAATTTTACAACTGTCGACTGTTTTACTCCGTAGAATTAGTCTTTATTTTATTGAATTCATTAGTGACTCTATTGAATCGTTAGTGACTCGAGTTGCTAATTAACGGTTCCATAGACTTGTATAGTCCATGTCATTGTTTCGTTGTTGTTCTGTTTTATCCTGCATAAATTTCATACACTATACAGAGAGTCTGTGACGTTAATATAACGTCAGAGTAACAATTTACATGTGTTATGTTGACTCACAGTAACTACATCATTATATATTATATTGATTATGTCATATATTGTAAATAGCAATTATGTCATATTATAAAATAAACAAAACGAAACGCGTGCGCTGATTGGTCTAGAGCTGTGTCTGCATTAGTCTGTGCAAAACACATCTGAGCTCAACCAATCAAATCAATCATAACAATCAATCAGTCAAAGAGAATTCGCAAATCTATGATGAATACAGAGGAAAATTGCAATTTTAGAGGAAAAATTAAAACGCTTACTCTAAATTTGTCTGTTTTGCATCATTGTTATTTTATAAAAGAAACAAAAGATGTTTTTCATGTTTGCACTGGCTTATGCAAAGAACTCGAGCATGTGCAACCCTCGACCTTCAGTCTAGGGCTTGCACTGATCTACTCTCGAGTTCTCCCAAAGCTCCCCTCGGTAAACATCTTAACTAAACATCTAAACATCAAACACAGTAAACATCTTTCATTTCTTAACTTATAAATAATCCATTACGTCATACAGTCAGACAGTATATAAGCAGCGAGCAGGTTGTGTAGCTGGTTGATTGCGCTACAAACTACAGAAATTGAGACATTGAGATATTGCGTAATAAGACGAAAGAAACCAAACGCTCAAGAGAATTGGCTGTTTGTTGCTGGACTTATCGTCGTGGGGATTTAAGGGCAGAAGAGCAAAGCTATATTTGTTGTTGTCGTAGACAGATAAGTTTATACTAACTTAGCTTAACTTTGGTGTATTTGACAATCTGAATAGCCTCTTGTGTGTTCAACACACACTTAACTTAACTTTCTTCATCTGATAATTAATATAAAAAATAAGTCTTGATTCTTTCCCTTAAGTCGTTCTTGCTACGGTGAACGGAACAACCCTCCCCCACCTCCATAAAAAAAACGCAAACTATAGCCATCGTCAATGCTAAGAATTTTAATACAAAAAGAATGATAGCACAACGCTATAACCAACAACTACAAACAATAACGACCTTATCTAACAACATTTGAGAAGTTAACCTTTCACTCTGATAAACCTTTCATCTTTTAACTCTGCTATACCGGTCACAAGCCCGGGACTTGTAGCGTATAAGGCTCTCTGCTTTTGAGTAGACTTGTATCGTTTACAAGGAAGAGGAGTGGAAGGTTAACATTCCAACTATTTAACCTTGTAATTTTAATACACAAGGCAAAAAGCGACGCAGTGGCATGCAAAATGTTGACAGCTTACATGCCATTAACTTTAGTTATAAAATCAAGAATTCAAAATTGTTCGTAGAGAAATTTAAATTAGCAGTTGATCGGTACAATGCGCATTTCACTTGCGAATCAAGTTTTCCAGATGGAAACCCCTAAAGAGAAGCATAATAAAAGTGATTCAGTCTTTCAGATGACATTAAAATGAGATATTTATTTCCGGCATTTTGATCATCAAAAAGTGTTATATAAGCAAAACAATACACACGCGTTGATTGTTTCCGGGTTTTTTGGACACCCTGTACAGCACTCAAATACCGAAAGCTGATTGGTCAATTGAAGGTTGTTATTCTCTAATTAAAAACAAATAATGACAGTATTTTCAATAAAATATTAAAAAACAAGTTGTCCGGAAAGTATGGCTTCAAATCAGTGCTCAGATAATTCGAATTCGATGTCTGAATGCGTATCTGATTCGAGCTCGGAATCCGTGGGTTATGTCGAGCATTTAAACGACTTCGCATATGACGATGAACCGCTCGCAGGAGATGGTGATGAAGTGCATACTCCAGATGATCCCGATGGAATTCTCCTGCGACCTTAGAACAACGAAGTGATGGCGTAATTCCACTCGGTGAATGGTAAGTTGTTGTTTTCTCCTGTTTGTAATATACATAAAGTTACTTTATAAACCACAATGCTCCCACGTTTCAGGTGTAATTGTCAATGCTGTCATACCGATTTGTTAGAAGGCGCATTAGAGTACAGATGCTGTAAGGAAATTGGACCAGCTTTGCAGAAAATGACATTCGATGGCAGCATTGAGAAAATATCATGCATAACACAGCATGCCAAATTTGGGCCTTTAGTTCATGAGGCTGTCCTTGAAAACGTCGGGCCACTATTGAGAGATAGGAATGGACGTGCTTATCGCCGCCAAGCATCACAATCATTAAATATGTAAGATTGTAAATTGTATGAGAAAGAATGTTATCATCAACATTGTTTCATCAACAATAATTAGTCCAACCTTTTTATTTACTTCAGGTACTTGAGAGCTGTGGCATACAGATGGTTGATGCGATGGTTTTGTGGGTCTATGGGATGGGAGTACTCGGCCTTTACCTGCTTGTGTTTACCACTTTATTCGGAAAGCATATCCAAGTGGTAACACAAAAGGTTACATACCATCAGAGGGGCGATGATGAAAAGGTCTTTTAACTTGTGCACTGTAGAGACTGTTGGCCTTCTTTGCTGAGTTTAGAATGGTCAGGAAATATGCCTAGATGAAAACCAAATAGGAGATACATGGATGCACTATACGGTAAAGAAAATCTTTTCTTTCAGTCTGGGAAAAAAAAGAAAAATTATATGGAATTAAATCATAGCATAAATGTAAAAATGGAAAATAGCAAGCCACATGAACTTATCTTATAAGGTCTTCACACTTGAGTGCACTGCATCCACAAAGGGCATGTTGAGCATTAAACTACAATAAAAAAAATTATTCATGAAAATTAATTAGTTGCACAATCGAGTGAGATAGTCATCTTCAATCTGACAAGTATACATACCATTCAATGTTATATTAATACTGTAATCATCAGGAAAGGTGTGTATATCAGTGCCCAGATAGGGAGGCTAGAGGGTACTATCACTTGCCTAAGGTGAACCCTGCTCAGCTCCATCACTAGTAGATGGTACTTCCTCATCGAGAGAACATGTTTCCTTCAGCGATGGCTTATGGAGAGTATGTCGAATAATCTACAAAACATATATCGAATTTACATATGACAAAAGAAAAATTAACATAAACAAGCGTAAACTTACTTGTCTGCGCTTTCGATCGGTTATTTCGTCCTGTAATGGTTCAGGAATCCCAGCCACGTCAATGGTTGGGATAGTCTTTCTTCAACCTTCTTTTGAGCTTGACTTACACGCTCAAATTCAAAACAAGAATCTTCAAAATGCGCAGAACACAGACACGAGGTAGAGGAAGCCTCAAACCCGGTCTATGTTTACGCACAAAATTTACCATTTTCTATGTCTTTGCGGCTCTGTTTCTTTATTAGGAAACAGATGCATCGACATTACTTCTGTTTTGAATCATTGGCGCAACTAATTTGATTAGGTCCGCCAGCAACACAGCGTTTTCCTCCGCGTTTCTTATTAAGATTACTAGTAGAATACGCCATGTTGATATATGTGTTCAACTATCTACGTCACAACTCATTAGCATACCGATCAAAAAGTTCGCAAAAAAAATGCTGAAAATCGTGACTTTGAACGTCCATAAAATCACTTTCACCAATCCAATTTCAATTATAATTGCAGATTTAAAATCACTGAAATAAGGTCTTTCAATTTAGCTAATAAAAAAGGGGCGCTAAAATTCGTGATATAACCCCTTTAAGGAGCCACTTGAGCATGTTAATCCCGTTATGAAAATATTCCAACCATTTGTTTTTGATGGACAGTTTCTTTAGCTGATGATAATTCGCCAATGTATCCAGTTAAGATACTTTGAGACACAGGTGCTTCTCAGTCATTAATTTTAACTAAAACTCTACCATTTTCTACAGACTCTTATTCTGGTAAAAATGCCCTAATAAAAGGAGTTGTTGCACACAAATACACTGCCATCCCATTGCATAACATTAAATTGCGGTCAAGTTTAGTTTCCGGGGAGGTGCAACTAGGCATCATTGACGCATTACCGTTTGATGGGATTCATTTACTCCTTGGAAACGATCTCGCAGGAAGTAAAGTTAGTGTAGATCCAATTTTAAGCGATAAGCCAGTGAGTTCAGAAGAGCCAAATCCTTCAGAGGATTTGATAGCAAGTTTATATCCATCTTGTGCGGTTACACGAGCACCGAAAAAGGCCAAACAAG